ATAATAATAATAATAATAATAATAATAATAATAATAATAATAATAATAATAATAATAATAATAATAATAATTATAATAATAATAATAATAATAATTAATATCAATTAATAATAATAATTATAATAATAATAATAATGATGATATTATAATTATTACAGTATTATTTTACAATTCGAAAATTACGGGAGGCAGTATTAGCTACAGATTCTACTCCAACAAATGGATTTTATAATGAATGGGAACTCACAACCATAGGTGGAAGGAGAGTAACAAAAGCCGAAGTTGAGAGAGCTCAGAAATGTAAACATAGATTTGATATACATATATATATATATATAAATATAATATAAAAATAATATAAAATATATTATACAACCTGTAAAAAAATATACATATATACTAATATATAATATACATATATAAAATATATATATATAAATTCTTAAATATTTTTAGTCGTCAATCTTTTACGTAATCTCTTTGTCGAATTAATGCACACATCTCAAAGATCAATCTCTCCAGATTTTGATTTAGCTTATCTGGCACTGGTAAATGCCAAAAATGAAGAAGATCATACTAAAGAGTTATCAAGATCACCTATGGACACAGTAATGGAAAATGATAATAATAATAATAGTAATAATAATAATAATAATACCAATTCAATTAATATGATTATTGATGATAATAATATCAATACTGTCACTAGTCCAGGATCCTCTTCTTCTCCTCCTCCTCCTTCTTCTTTCCCTCCTCATCTTCCTTCTTCTTCTAATAATATTAATAATAGTAATGATGATGATAATAATAATAATAATAACAATTATAACAATAACAATAATCCATCTCCTGATCTAATTGATTTTACCGATGATGTCATTGATTTTGATGCTGATGGTGGTGATGGTGGTGGAAGTAGTAGTGTTTATAATAATAATAATAGTAATAATAATAATAATCATAGTAATAATAATCATAGCAATAATAATCATAGTAATAATAATAATAATAATAATAGTCATAATAATATTATTGGTGATGATGATGATGATGACCTTATTGTAATTACTGATCCTGAATCGATGAATAATGTAATTACTGATCCTGAATCGATGAATAGTATAATTGCTGATCTCGAATCGATGAATAATGTAATTACTGATCCTGAATCGATGAATAATGTAATGCAACCTAATATTTCTTATAACGACAACAATAATAATAATATTGATAATAATGATAATGATGATAATATGGATACCGATACCGATTTACCTATTACTACTATTACTATTGATGATGATGATGATGATGATACTGACGTTGCTGTTACTACTGATGATATTGTTGCGTCTACTTCTGCTACCATGTCTGTCATGTCTACTGCTGATGCTACTCCTACCAATACAACGGATTTATTTAATTCACATTCCTCTTCTAAAGGAAAAGAAAAGGAAGATACTACTACTTACATTGTATCACAACAATCTCAAGGAGAATCTGATTCTTATACCAAAGAAGATAAATTGAAGAAAGCATCTGGAATGTTATTTGGAAAACAACAAGATGTCACTGGTAATAATTTATTTATTTTATTTATTTGTATATTTTATTTTATCAATCTTTAACCATTTTTATATATTAATATATATATATATTTTTGTATATATAGAATGTATGGATAATGTTATGTTTCAATTGGAAGCGGCTCTGAAATCTATCATGACAAATGAAAATGGTGAAGATCAAAATATTGTGAAAAGGTTTTTCGTTTAAATTTTATTATTTACATATTTAACATCGTTTGCGTCATCATTTACTTACATCATTTAATATGTATTTAAATATTTGTTTATAGTTTATTTTATGGAAAATCGCGTCAAATTCTTCGTTACAGAGAACCAAACGCCGGAGAAATAGTTATTAATAAAAAAGAAGAATTATTCAATCATTTAATATCCTTTTATTTTTTTACAATATATTCTGAATATTATATTTTATTTCGGAATTTATGATTCTTTAACATTTGATAATAATAATATTATTATTATCATTATTTTACTTAGTAGTTGTTGCTGAAGGTCGTGATTTATACGATGGGCTCGATGTTTACTTTGATGCATCAACGGTGAATTCATCGTAATGCTTTGAATCTAGTTCTTTGAAATTCTTATTTACCAACATAATGATGTACTAATTTAAATATTCTTAATTTAAATTTATTATTTATATTTATTTATATTTATTTATATTTATTTATTGACAAAAATAATAATGAACAAAATAAATCATAATAATAATAATAATAATAATAGGTTGACTTTAATGGAGCTCAAGCTGAAAGAGAAGTTACTTTAATAACATCACCTCCAATACTTCAAATTCAAGTTCAGGTATTATTTATATTTACGCATATATATATATACATATAAATATATATATAATTGCTTTTATATAATAATAATAATAATAATAAATATATGATGATATCCCATGATTTTTCTAGAGAGTACAATTTGATCGATCAACTTCAAACATCTATAAATCAAATGCATACCTTCGATTCGAAAAAGCAATCTATCTTGATAGATATCTTGATAAGAATCGAGAAATCTTACGTAATTTAATTAAGGAAGCAAATGAATGGAGAAAAGAAATTGATACCTTACAAGAAGAACTTAAGGATTTTTCTCGTGATAAGGTTAGTAAACATTTCATAAATTAATAGATAATTGTAATAATAATAATAATAATAATAATAATGTATGATGATAATTATTATTATTATTTTATTCTAGACGACCTTTTTATCAACAGTCGATTTACTTAAATCATCGGCTGAATTTGTTCAATCCTTAAAAAATGAGGATTTCATAATGGATGAAAATTTTGGACGGGAATTAGAAGAAGAAAGTGATTGGGTGGTTAAAAAAATAAATGGTATATTTTTTAAGTATCATTATTATTATTATTGTTATTATTATTATTATTATTATTATTATATTA